CCTACAAACGGTTCACATTCTGTGACCATTGTGGCTCATTACTTTATGGCCTTATTCGTCAGGGTCTCCAATGTGAAGGTATGAATAAATCTTAACCCATTGGATCCAGTTGGGTCTTGGTCGGGTGGCTGCTTGTAGGGTGGGTGCACGCAAATGTGTGTGCAGTGACAAGACTCTATGCCTTCTATTTGCAAACTTATTTACTCTTTTTATGCATAAGTAATTTTAGCTTATTGGGCATTTTCCAATCTCCATATTTGCCATTTGATGTCCATTATCCAGATGGTAATAAGCTTTTTTTCTTTGCACAGACTTCAATAATCTATCAAGGTAGTCCACAACTCAGTGCAAGAAAAATGAAACTGTAACACTAATGTATGTTATGTAAATGTAACACTATGTTACTTTTGTAATTTAAATTTTATGTAATATTCAATTTTCTGTAAAACAACCTGTGTCACTGCTTATAGACATTTCATTCCACACTCATACATAGATGGGAATAATGCAAACTTGCCAAATGAGTAAAATAAACCTCCCAATAGGTTTGTGTACTCGTGGCAAGTCCTTTCCATCACCTCGGCCTTCAGCCGAAACGCTCACGACAGTAGGTTCGCGTCACCCGGCCCACAGTCAGATTTTCCCATGACTGGATGTTTACGTCACCCGCCCCTTGACCCAGATTTTTTCACAATGTGATGGTCACATCAACTGGATCCAAGGGGTTAATGCCCTTTTTATTTTAATTTAACTTTACTGCATAAACTGATGTTGATTATTGGTCAAGGAGATAAAGTATATGTCTATATTAATTTCTCTTCTCTTAATCTTCAGAAGTTATAAGTTAAGTACATTTACATTTCAGTATGCAACATGAATGTTCACAAGAGATGCCAAAAGAATGTAGCCAACAATTGTGGGATAGACGTAAAACAGTTATCAGAAATTCTAGCCACCATGGGTATACGGCCCCAAGATGAAGCAGCCAAACGCAAGAAGAAGGTGAGTTGTTTCCTTGTGCTGATAATAAATCTCATTCATGTGAAACATTTTTTGTAATCCTTTAACCATTATATTAATTATGGTTTGGTATATAATTTTTATATGATTTCAATAAGTCCCAGAACTTATGTGGTAAAAAAGAATTACAGTCATGTTTCAAGGTAGGAAAGGTAGAGGCACTTAATCAATGACTGATAGATACCTTCTTTTTCCATGCAGTCTGTTAGTGAGACTAAGTTATCATCGGCCACCGCCCCTGTTAGTGTCCCAGGAATCATCGGAGAAGTTGAAGTCCCAGGTGAAATGAATGAGGAAGAGCTAAGACTAAGGATTGAAGCTCAGCGTATCATGGACAAGAAGATGAAGGAACGCTGTGCAGAAGAAGGACTAGATGCCAAGTGTAAGCTTTTTTGTTTATTTTTTTACTGTAGTCTTTGGGATATTTATTGTATATTCCTTTGTAGGTTGACTTCCTTTCATATTATTGTAATCTCAAAGAGTATTTACAATCTTTCTTTTGGATGATAGTGGAGGGTTGATGTTTTGGGTAATTTGAATATGAGAAGAATTAACTTTTTTGAAGATATGTATAATTTTTACAATTTTGGATACCAAAGGATTTTTATGTGTTTAATGAAATTTCTCTCTTATAACAGCAAAGCCACACGATACTTCTTTAGATGTCATGCTTGGTGGGAAGAAGGTAGACCTGGATGACTTCTCATTCATTAAAGTGCTTGGCAAAGGAAGCTTTGGAAAAGTAATGCTAGCTGAACTCAAAGGGACAGATGAAGTCTATGCCATCAAGGTTAGCAGAGTTACTTGGTTTGTTTTGCTCCTTTTCTTTGGCTGTAACAAACACAGCAATAAAAATAATTATCTTTTCATTTAGATCCATTCAAGTTTGTTGATGCAAGTGGAATTTTGAGATGTATTAACCATGCATTTGGCTGAATTTGCAGGTGCTTAAGAAAGACGTGATCCTACAAGATGATGATGTAGAATGTACAATGACTGAGCGGCGGATCTTAGCGATGGCTGCCCACCACCCCTTCCTCACTGCCCTCCACTCTTGCTTTCAAACCAAGGTGAGTGGTTGATGTAGCGAATTATAGATATTTATAAGATCTCTGCAATGTATTGATTATCATGAATCTTTTTTTATTCAGTTTAAGTTGGTCATAGAGATGTGAAAGATGTGAATGCTTAGTTTTTTTGTTTTTTTTTCTAGTGTAAATTATAGAATGATGTTAATACTTTTTCTTGAATGTAAAGACCTAGTTTTTTATATTACCAATTTATGATCCTTTATCAGTTATGAACTGACATTTTTCTATCTCTGTCGTACAGGATCGATTATTCTTTGTTATGGAGTATGTTAACGGTGGCGACCTAATGTTCCAAATTCAGAAGGCTCGCAAGTTCACAGAGTCACGTGCAAGATTTTATGCAGCTGAGGTCACGTTGGCCTTACAGTTCCTCCATAAAAATGGTGTTATTTACAGGTATGTGTGACGGATGTTTTTAGTATTTACAGTACGACTACCTAGCCCTAGTCTAACCTAGTAACAGAAGTTATTAGGGAATTATTAACTCTCTTAAGGGTTTCAGAATATGTCCTTTGTTATTTGTGTGTGTGTGTGTTTGTATGTCTGTATTAATGTATATGTATGTTTGTAAGATAAAAGAATATAGTAGCACTTTCATCCTGATAAGAAATTCAAACCAACACATATGTATGTATGTAATGAATGTAATGTGTGTAATGTATATGTGTATGGAAGATACTGAATATAAATACCAAAAGTCTATTGTTTCTTTTTTTCTCCTTGCAGAGATTTGAAATTAGATAATATTCTACTAGACAGTGAAGGACATTGTAAAATAGCTGATTTTGGTATGTGTAAGGAAGGCATCAGGGATAATATTACAACAACCACCTTCTGTGGAACACCAGATTACATTGCACCAGAGGTAAGTCATAAAACAGAATTGAAAGCCATTCCTTTGATATCTTGTTCTGTATTATTTCCTTATGTGCAGCTGTTTGCCAGTGTCTAGTAGTTTATTGTATTTTGTGATTTATTTTCCCATTTTTGATTACTTAGTCAGGTTTTTGCTTTAATTGTGCCAGAGCAAGACTTCTGTGTTGGCTTTTACTACTTTGCTCATTAGACCACCTAGGCTGTTTCTGTAGCAGTCCAGTGTAACCTTTCCTTATGAACATGTGTTTTTAAATGTATATGATTGTAATGTTTCTGGTGATGAGGATATTATTTTTTATCCCCTTTTTATTGGAACAAATTAACCCAAAGTCTCCAGGAAAATTGTTCACTGTAGTATTTTGTGAAATGTCTCTGCACATAGATGGCTCTGCAAGTGCTTAGCCACAAAGGAGTCAATTAGTAGACCATTGTGACCTCACCTGATTTTACCTCTCCATGAGTAATTGGGTCTTTGGTAACGTAGTACTTGTGGAGCCATCTGGATGTAAGAATAAATAGTAAGTTAAACTCACAGTGGGCATGGCACGTACCGTACGCACATGCCATCCCTGGTGGCTTCGGGTCAAAATCACATTCTGAAAAGAGTATAATTTTTTTAAAGGTCCTTGGGCATGCATTAGGTAATTCTAGAACTGGTTCATTGTAATTTATTTTACATTTTCTGCTACCTCCTGGACTATTTTCATATAGGTGATGTGAAACCATTCAATGATTATATGGCCCTGATAGTCAATGGTGGATGATGATATTAAAGTGAATGAAGATATAAAATAGATCATAATTTTTCATGGAATTGAAAGCAGCAAGAAATCCTCTGTTCAATTTTATGTTAACTTCAGATAACTTTTCCTATCGGTGACTTGTTCTAAGATATATATAAGAACCACACTCACAGTAAAGTAAAATGAAAAAAGGGGACTAAATATTTGAATATACCATTGCACCTGATAAAGAGATCACTCATTAATGTAAAGCTTATATACTAATTTATTATTCATTTGGGTTTGATGTGTTTGGATATGCATTTCATAATTTTGTTGATGATAAATCAGATGTACCTTTGCTCTGTCTTATTTTGAGGATAGTTGCTGAAATGTTAGGCTGTAATTTTTGAGTAGTGGTTATAGAAATATTGCTCTGTACTAGATGCTGTGTATGATACTTCGTCTACACTAAGATATAGCTTTATATCTCCTTACATCTCAGCCTACAATGTTTGTACAGTATGTGATACTTGTAGTATGTACTATGTTCGTCCCTGCTAACCCAGTGCTTGTGCTGTATCTCCCACTAACCTGTTTACCTGTCTTCTGCACAGCGCTTGCAACAAATTGAAGAGTGAGATACGGTGAAATGTCAGTGATGTAAGCCTGGTATATTTTTTTGTTTTATTTCACTGTGTGCTCACCCATAGATGTGCCCCACTATTGTAAATTTAATCTATTTTCTTCGTAGATACAGAAACCCAGAACTTGTAATTGAATATGAGCTTTTGTTTGTTTGCTTTTCACATTTGTGCAGCTCATTAAGGGACTCCGGGTTTGGCACGTTTGAATTCCATGTACAGAAGGAGAGAGATTTTCCCATAGAATGTTTTGAACAGTGACATTCTAAAAAGCACCATAGCAGCATTGAAACTAGATACATAGCTGGTGACCCTTTCTATTGTTGTTATACAGACATTCATAATTATTGTATGATGAACTGTTTACATGGACAATATAGGGAAAATTCAAGTGAATAAAGAAATGGGGTATTGTTTACCAGAAATAAGAAGTAAGATAAGATGCTTGTCTTATGTTATATTCTATGGATAAAAGTAACCTTTAGGGGTAAATGTTCTCTATGATGAGAAATGCTTGAGAAATGTCCATACTGACTATTGAAGGATACTTTTCAAATTGTTCTCTTAATAGAGACTAAAGATATTTAGAATGCTGAAAATTGAATTTCTTATGCAAACACGTGTTTATTCAGGTTGTTGCATGTGTCAGAAATACCAACTTGTGGCACCTTTTTTTTTTAATCTTCATGAGTTATGGCATTGGGACATCAGACTCATGTTCAAGGATTACTTGTTTGCACATGATGATATAATTATTGAACACAATTGCAAGGTTCAATGAGTAGGGGAGATTAAGACACATTCAATGAAAACCTCTGAATTAATGTTTTTATGATTGTAATGAAATTCTCTTTATTGTGTGTGCCCCACTATTGTAAATTTAATCTATTTTCTTCGTAGATACAGAAACCCAGAACTTGTAATTGAATATGAGCTTTGGTTGTTTGCTTTTCACATTTGTGCAGCTCATTAAGGGACTCCGGGTTTGGCACGTTTGAATTCCATGTACAGAAGGAGAGAGATTTTCCCATAGAATGTTTTGAACAGTGACATTCTAAAAAGCACCATAGCAGCATTGAAACTAGATACATAGCTGGTGACCCTTTCTATTGTTGTTATACAGACATTCATAATTATTGTATGATGAACTGTTTACATGGACAATATAGGGAAAATTCAAGTGAATAAAGAAATGGGGTATTGTTTACCAGAAATAAGAAGTAAGATAAGATGCTTGTCTTATGTTATATTCTATGGATAAAAGTAACCTTTAGGGGTAAATGTTCTCTATGATGAGAAATGCTTGAGAAATGTCCATACTGACTATTGAAGGATACTTTTCAAATTGTTCTCTTAATAGAGACTAAAGATATTTAGAATGCTGAAAATTGAATTTCTTATGCAAACACGTGTTTATTCAGGTTGTTGCATGTGTCAGAAATACCAACTTGTGGCACCTTTTTTTTTTAATCTTCATGAGTTATGGCATTGGGACATCAGACTCATGTTCAAGGATTACTTGTTTGCACATGATGATATAATTATTGAACACAATTGCAAGGTTCAATGAGTAGGGGAGATTAAGACACATTCAATGAAAACCTCTGAATTAATGTTTTTATGATTGTAATGAAATTCTCTTTATTGGACTGAATTCTGCAATTATATAGTAAAGGGTTAGGTTTCAGATTATATCAGGATTTCATATTCATATATAGATATTTAGGGATTAGGAGTTTTGATCAACATATTTCTTACTGTCCTGATTCAGAGTTGCATCAATGTAGGTTTGTTTCTCTCTCAACGCCATTATTATGCAATTCACGGTAAGGAAAGTATAAAGAGATAAGAGCAGTACTTAGTGGAAAACCAGACTGTATTTTTGGCTAGAGAAGAGCACAAATGTGTAAATTTGTTTATCTGAGATTTGATACTTTGTAAAATAGTTCATTTAAGGAGTTATTTTGTTTTAACAGTTGAGTGTTCTTTGTATTGGTCAAGATGTTTATGATTATTGCCAAGCTAACTGATTCACCATGTCTTGCCAAGTTCAAAGATGGCTTTTTTGCATGTTTTGATATCGATAAAAGTATGGTAAGAATTTTTTATGCATTCATTCATTATACATTGTGAATATTGTTCCAATCCTTCAACAGATTCTTAAAGAGTTGGATTATGGTGCAAGTGTTGACTGGTGGGCACTAGGAGTTCTCATGTATGAAATGATGGCAGGACAGCCACCATTTGAGGCTGATAATGAAGATGATCTCTTTGAGTCCATCCTGCATGAAGAAGTTTTGTATCCAGTTTGGCTTTCAAAGGAAGCAGTTTCTATACTGAAAGGGGTAAGTCATGTGATATAAATATTGATATTTTACTGGGGTATTAGTTTTTGATAAATTAATGATAATTCTTTGTCACTATAATGATATTGATGCTCTGTTTCCTTCTCCCTTAAGTTTATGACAAAGGAACCATCCAAGCGGTTGGGCTGCGTTGCAGAGCGAGGAGGAGAATTGGCAATTCGTAACCACAAATTCTTCCGAGAGATAGACTGGGAGGCTCTGGAGCAGCGCAAAGTTAAACCACCATTTACACCCAAGATAGTAAGTAACTGTATTATGGTTTTCAGTAGCTCACATTTATAGGAATACTAAACAAAAGGAGGGACTAGGATGAAATAGAAGTCTTTCTTGTATCTCTGAAACCTATTTACCCCAATACATCTTGCTGGGGCTGAGAGGATGTGTAAGAATATGTAAAAGGGAGAAATTTGTTTTATTATGAATTATGATATTGAAAAGTAACACCCATCTTTGATTTAAAAAGAGCAAATTACCATGTAACTTTCCAGCTGGTTGGCAAATACAATAAATAAAAGTTGCCAAAAAATATATGATATTAACCCCAAATTTCCAGAGTGTAGAATTTTTATTTATTTTCTTTACCCCTCAGAGTTGGGTTAATTTTATAAACAGTATTGAAAATAAAGACAAGAAAGAAGATATTAACCTAAGATAAATATAAGCAATACTATAACAAACTTGCTTTGACAGTTTGCTGGCATATTACTGAAACATCATTTCCTCTCGCTCAACAGAAAGGACGTAAGGATACAGTCAACTTTGATGCAGAGTTTACCAAGGAAGAGCCAACTCTCACCTTTATTAATGAAGAAGTTGTTCGTGCTATCAACCAAGACGAGTTTAGAGGATTTTCTTTTGTTAATCGTGAATTTAAGTCCATGGCGGCTGCACCATGTCAAACCTAAGTGCAAATGCAGCACAGTAAGTATTTTATTCTGTTTAGCTTGTGAGATTTCTTGTCTGTGTGTTGTTATACTTATTTTATTTTTGTTTGTACAGTATTTTGTGTACGGGAGATAATGAGAGCTTGACATAATATTTTGAATTGATTCTATTGATGCATTTTTCTTGCTCCCTCGCTAATTTTATGCTCCTCCATGTTCCAGGTACAAAGTGCTAAAGTCTCCCCAGGAAACTTGATGTGCAGACTATATGAGAGGATTCTTTAGGGAAGAAAGCAGATGAAGGAAGGGAAAAAACAGTGAATAATAGTAGGAAAGATTTCAAATTTGACTGCACAAAGAGTTGAATGTCTCAACAAGCACAACTGAGAATGGCTGTATTGTGATTAACATTGTATATCTAATAATACTCTTTATGATGGATTTTTTTCATTATTAATATAGTATTTTATTTTTTTTTTTGCAAAAGATTCTAATATGGAAGATCTCTGAATTTATAAGTTACAATATTTTTAAATATAGATATATTTCATGATGGAAAGATATTACATGGGAGCGTTGTAGAGATTTTTTTTTTAAATTGAAGATAGTATTTATATAGTGTTGTTCTGTAAATGCATGATGCATTTGGAATATGATAGGAAGATACAAAGTTCGTAAGGAATTTTACAAAGAATGATTCTAATGTTTATTTATTTTTTACTGACTTCTTTCAGTGTATTGTTAGGGAAAATTGCCAACTTTTGAACTTCCAGTTCTGGAGGTTTGAAGGATATATATTGCATTTTAATGCAGTAAGCACTTACTATAGATAATCAACCTATGAGGCTCATGATTTAGCACATGTAAAGAAAGGGAAAAGGAAGTGAAATTGAAAGTTATAACCTTTGACTAAAATTGCTTGTCCAGTTATGGTACCAGATGATTCCAAAAGGCTAGTAAGAAGTGCACAAAAGATAACTAGCATCAGGATAATATTTAATGTCTGGCAGTGGAAAGAAACTTGGATGCAGGTATGGGGGAGACCAGATGTAGGACCATACAACTCATATTAACTTTTGGCCCTCTTTTGTATTGTTTCTAGGTCACTCAGTCACATAAACATACACTCATGTACACTCACATGCTATAACACACTCACAATCAAACAAGCGCATAAAAATATTTTATATTCTTGAAGTGGTGGAAGCCCTCCTCATATATACTTATGGTGCAATATGCCAAAGAAAATGGGCTTGACGAGTCCTTATTAATGTGCATCAATCACAAGTGTTTAGATTATACTTAATAAGTTGCCAGGTGTTTTGCAGTCCAATATGAAAACAGAAGATGTTTGTTTGTATAAGACTGTATGCTTCCAGTTCTGAATTTAGTGGTATTCAGGGTTGTCTAATGTATGGAATCATTTCTCCCCCACAACATTTGGTCTTTCCCATCATGCATTCTTAACCTTAGTGACTCTTATCTACGCACAATTTACAGGCAAGTGGCAAGATCAGCTTTTTTTGAGTCATTGGTGGCATTTCAGTAAGTTTACTTTTCCCCCCCACCTAAGTTATGATACGGGAAATTATTGCTTATTAAACGCTCACCAACCAGGTTCAATGTAGCTGTTCTGATCACAGCTCTGTACTACAGACATCCAGGTAGTGGATAAACTATACTATTGTAGCCAATGTGGTAATGTGCTTTTATAGTTCTCAAATGGCATACATTTATTGTGTGTCTTCTCTTCTTCCTCAGCAGATTAAAAAAGAAAAAAAAAAAAAAGGGCAAGATCGTTGTTAAAAAACGTACCCTAAAAACTTGAATGATATGAATAAGGTTCAAGTCAGAACTACATAAGGTCCACAGTTTATTGACCTACATATTGAGCTTAGACCAGTATTGCATTTCATAGAAAGGATAAATAAGTTTTCCATCATATTCATGACCATAAGAGGGAAGCAAAAAAAATATAAAGAAAAAAAAAAAAAGGGCAAGATCGTTGTTAAAAAACGTACCCTAAAACTTGAATGATATGAATAAGGTTCAAGTCAGAACTACATAAGGTCCACAGTTTATTGACCTACATATTGAGCTTAGACCAGTATTGCATTTCATAGAAAGGATAAATAAGTTTTCCATCATATTCATGACCATAAGAGGGAAGCAAAAAAACATATAACATTAAAAAAAAACAAAAAAAACATATAACTCTCAGTGCGTAGTAGAGGGGAACAGAAACCCCTCCCACTCCCCATCCCCACCCCACCCCACCTCTGAATGTTGGTGTGTGTGTGCGCATCTGTGTTAAGTCCCAGGCGGTGGTGTGTGTGTCGCAGCCAATTTAGAGGTTGTAGAACAGCCGCTTAGCCAAGACAGTCGTGTGGGTAAAACTGTCCCCAACTCACATGGGTCTTAATGGTCCAGAAGTCAACTTTGATTAATGGATTTATCTGTAAAAGTTTACTTCCATTATAATTTGATCTGTCCAGCATAACTTGTGCAGGACAATGAAGGTGCTGGATTTCTTAATATTTCACTACAGTAACTGCTGAAAAATCATATTGAGTACACTTCCATTAAGTAAAGAGGTTGATTTAAATGTGAGTTACCACTTCTAGAGACTCCCAATAAGTAGTTTTTTTTTTTCTTTTTTTTTCTCTAATTGTAACATAATATATACTCCATTGAGATTCTTGGAGGTGGTGGGATACCCCGTAAATGCTAGTGTTGGCTATGGCCTCAGGTTAGTGAGTTGAGCCAGTGATGCTGCGACCCGTCACCGCTGTGTCTTCTAGCAAATCTTCCAATGGTTCACGCCTGTTGATTATTTTATTTTTTGGTAGTGTGGTATAATTGTTGTGATGTGGACAGCCAGATGTGGGGCAAGTCTCCCCCAGCACTCCCCAGTGCTTCTTTGCCCTGCATTTGTGTGTGTCCACAGTATTTTAATAAACTCCTGCCCTTGTCCCCAGCCCACTGCTTACGGTCTGGCCTGGGACAGAGGTGTTGGAAATGTGTCACTCAGCCGCTGGGGGCCTGGGTCCAGTCATGATTGTGGCCCTCAGCAGGCCATCTAAGTCACTCTTGTCATCTGCCTTATCGTCTTTCGCACAAAGAAGGAATTTTGTTGTGACTGGTGGGTGAGCATGATGGAGGGCAGGCAGTGGTCCGTCTCCCCCAGGCGGCGCATGTCGCTGTCACCACTGGCTGCCTCAGGTTGCTGTATAGACCTGTGCACCCCAAACCATGCCCGCTGTCTCTGTGTGCAATATTACTTGGCCTCGGGTCAGAGTAGCCATTCACTGGTAACGTTTGACTCCTAGGCCAAGATTGGTGTGGTACCTGTGATGCATCCATCCTCGCACACCCACCTCCAAGGCAGTGTTCTACAACCATTCTTGACTCATTACCATATCTCATAGCCCAGAAAACATTGGTATTGCAACAAGGCCAAAGATAGTAGATAATGTACTGGTAGAAAAGAATCAAATCTTGTAGTGTGCAGTTTTGCTGTCTTCATTGTTTGTGTTGTGGTCAAAATCTGCGTTGTTAAGTAGATAGTTGTCTTGTGAGCTGCTTACAACTCAAAGCCAGGAACGCTTGTTTGTTTGCAGTCCAACAGACAGTCATGGGCAGATGGCCTTTTGCAGTCACATTATAAGCCTTATAAGGCTCCATCTTTGCTTAGAAGGTTTGCGATTTGCAACCTTTGTCAAGACCATTATTATGGTGAAGACCTTAACAAAGGGTCTCTTAGGAGCCTTGTGCAGTATTCCAGAGGTTTATTGCACTTCAGCGTCCTGGTCAGGTGAGATGTGCTTTTTTTGCTGTAGTCTGCAAGTAAGTGGCTACTGCATGCTGTGAATCTGAAAAATCTGCATTCACAGCAGAATAAGCTGTGTTTCTCTGCTAATATCATAGGTCTGCTTGATAAAACCTGTAAGCAAGCAGTGTGCTGACCATTAATGCTCTCTAGACAAGACTTTGTGTTCATTAGTATTGCAGTGGGTAGCATATACTCTACAATACAGTGAGCTGTGGAGAAAACTTCCAGCTCACTACTTGAGTGGTCAGTGTCTGATAGCCAAGTCTACCAGAAAGCTGGAGTAAGAATTTCCAGTTGTAGTTTTTCATTATGCTTACCATTTGACTTCCAGTGGAGCAGTTGGTAGTATAAAATTATGTGTAAGACATGAGTGCTACACCAGTGAAGAGTCTTACAAGAAATAAGCTTTTTTATTGTCTGGTATGCTTTCCTCCCCCTGTACCAGATAGGACTAGTGAATGGTTGCTAAAGCTGCTTTTTAGTAGCTGGAGTCAAATTGGGGGAAAGAGAATCCTAAGTAGTACTTGGACCTTCACGTTGCATTTCTCACAGCCGTTCCGCTGCTGTAGGCTGGAACCTTACAGAAGTGTTTAGGAACATCTCTCTATTCTGGATGGTCCAGGCTTAGGGAAAGATTAGATTTTTTTCTTATTTGAAATGTAAGGTAATAATTTTCATAACAATAATGATTATAATAGGGTAATGAAATTATCATAATTTTTCTACAGTAATTATCATTTATTTTAATTACTCTCATATTTAAATTATTGTCTCCATCAGAAGCTGAAATATGTAATTGGGCTTATACGACAATTTTCAGATAAGGACACAAGTGTTTCACTTTAGAAGCTTCTGTAAGTCATAACTTTTATTAGTAGCGGTTTGGAGTGGAAATGACAACTAGGAGTAGTCTTTTTCTGATCCACCTTAAAGCAACACTGTATTACAGAGCCCAATTCCCAGAAGGGCTAAACTCAAAAGGTGGACCCATATTCTCATGGTGTCCTTTACAAATTATAGCCCAATTAGTAGTGCAGTCTAACTTATAAAGCAGCCTAAGTTACT